CTGCCTTTTGGGATAGGTCCTGGGGCAGACGTTGAGCCTGAGGAGGGGGAGGGCATTGCAGGCTAGTTAAACGTTTGAAAAGTTTCGTAACTGAATCGCTGAAATGATTTGGAAAATTACAACAACTGAAACCAAAAAAATACAGCAGAACCTTGAAAGAAAGGATGTGTATGCGAGTGAGTGTATCGACGGTTTTGATACCCATGCAGAGCGATCCTTCAAATGGTAGAACTTTTAAAGAACTTTTAATTAACTTCAAGACTCGTTTTCTAACCTATCGTTGCTATTTTCTATGGAATCAGAAATACTTACACCTCTGCGTTGCCAACACCAGCTCAAAATTGTTGTACCCTCTGTAAGGGGTATGAAAAACCAGATCAGAGCAGAGAGCAGAGCAGAGCGTATCAGATACAAATGAGTCGACATTTTACGGCCTTCCCAACCCCCCGCCTTCAGAAGTATGCTGCTGTTGACAGTCGTTTCCCCAAGCCACCGCTCCACTGCCCCCTGTCCCCCCCGCAGCACTGTTTCGTGCATATTCCACATGCCACATGGCAATGTGATGTGGTGGCAAAGAGGGGGGCGCAAAGAAAGAAAGGGTTGATTGGCATTTCTCGCAGAGTAAGCAAAAGTTTTTCAGCCACCCGAACTCCCCCCACACTGCCGCACTCATCTATCCTCAGTCTTCTCTTCGCTTTCTTTTTATTTTTTTTGGGGGGGGGCTCCTTTGTTGCTGTGAGAGAGTGCCGACACCTCCCTGGCACACAAACACACTCATACTCCCACCCCACACACACACACCAATACGAAAGTGTTTCATTTTTTGGCTGATTGCGAATGCTTCCCTCTGCTCACTGCTCTCTCCACCACTCAGTCACCACCTCGCACCCCCTCGTACCCATTGTCTTTGTGGATGCTTATTTGAGGCGGCTTCTGTGCTCTTCTCTTGCGGGGCGGGGGTAGGGCGGGGTTGTCTCTGGCGAGACGCCATCGACAGAATGCCGAAAATTCATTTGTATTTCAAAATCCCTTTTTGATGAACTCAACGTTTTCGTGTCCGTGCTCTCTCCTGCTTGTCTGCAGTTTGCTTTGGTTGGGCACCCTTGCGGAGGGGTACTTTAGTCTTTGGCCAAAACATTAGCCGGAGAAGGGAAGGGTATGAGAGCAGTATTTCCGAGATATGGTATTTCCCGCAATATGTGTTGCCTGCCAAGGAAAAGGGTATTCCAAGCTTCTACCTCAAGGGTTTTGCGCTCCGTTTGTCTCACTCTGCGGTGCCAACATATTCGCTCGTTTGCTGTCTCTATTTCTCTGAGTCTGAGCCTGAGTCTGTGTCTGTGTCTGTGTCTGGGTCCTGCTCCGTCGCTTCGTTCCTTTGCGCCTGTCGTAATGCGATTGCTAAATATTTCACTTTACCGTGTACTTTTGACTGCCGCCTGTCCCTGTCCCTGTCGTGCTCCGGAATTTGTGTATGTTCCGGAATTTGTGTCCTATTTGATTAGTTCGCTGGAAAAAGAGTTCAAATGGGAATTATATCATTCACCATGGGAATGCACGTGAGGATGGGCACCAGCGAGAGGCTCTGGCATGACCTTCCCCCCTTCTTTCAGACAGTGCACAGCGGCTCCCCCCAGCAACTCCTTCCTGTCACAGACGAAGCACTGACTTCCCCTCTGCCATGTTGTACCCCAAATACTGGGCCATAAATTATCATTGTAATGTAGATTTGAGTCAGACGCCAGAAGGGTTCTGTGCTCTGCACTCCAAAAGCCATGGCCACCACGACCAGCCTCAATTACCTTTTGTCTTTGGCTTGGGCGTTTGGGCGTTATGGTTTGGGGTTGTTCGGGAAAGCCAAAGGGATATACTCGTTGAATCATAATTGCAGTTGCGGATGGCCCTTGAAAAACTTTAATTGCTTCTTGTGGATGGGTGGATGGGTGGATGGGCTGCCAGGCTCCTGCTTCTGCTCCTTAAACCGATTTATTTGATTTATGGGCTGTTGCTTGTAGGTGCTTAGTGTGTCCAGACACAGCCCCCTCTGCCACATCAGAAGTTTAGTTTCGCTTTTCCCCAAATCGAATCAATAAAGGCTGCATATAAACCATCAGAAGGTCGGAGAACAAAAAAAAAAGGAAAACTTTTGTGATTATAATTTATTGTGTTTTCCCCGCCAACAGTTTTTCACTTGCAATTAATGTCAGACACACAGAAGGAGTGGAGAGGAGAGTAGTGGACTGGAGTGGAGTGGAGTGGAGAGCACAAAGAGAGTGAGAACTGAAGAGGAATAAAAAACAATAAAAGCGAATTACATTAAAATTACACAATCAGCAAAAAGCAGCAGGAGAAGCAGCAGGAGAAGCAGCACCAGTAGCATCACGAAAAGGGGGGGAGTAATGGAGTAATGGAAACCTTGTTACGTTGCACGAACGGATAAAAAAAGAAGCTTCTCAATGATGGCTGATGGTGGGTGGAGGGAGGGATAAGCTGGTGAATGGTGAATGAGAGGAGTGGATGATTTCAGCAGGGCGCCTTGGCAACAGGTTCTTCAGCCACACTCCGCACCCTACCGTCCCGTCGAGCACAATTAAAATTGTTGTTAAACGAGTTTTAATTAGATAGGGGAAGTGCAGCGGCTGAGAGAATGAAGCTGCGCAACAATGGATTAGAGGGGGGGTCTAGAACGGGTCTAGAGAGACGCCAAGTAATCAGGTAATTCCAAAGAAAGAGAGCGGACTCCAATGATATCCTAATTAGATGATAGTCCGACGAGTCAATGGGAATGATGTGCAAAAAGCTGTCAGTCCTAGCCAGCTAAAAGCGCATCAGAATCAAATTGGAAGTGCAGCCAAAAGAAGTTGGCTTAATTACTTTCTTTGGCAAATTAGCTGTGCGGAAATGAATGCGGAGATGAAGCCCGCGAATAGAAGAGGAGAGAAATAAAGAGAGAGGGAGAGGGAGAAAACTCTAATCACTGCTGCTGGAAGCAGACGACTAATGGAGTGATTCGCCAAGAGTCATTCGGTCGAGTAACAGGCCACAACAAGGCATAATACTACGGAGAGTTGGCAGTTTTCTAGAAATTTAAACTAAAAGCTTTAAATTTTCAATTTGATGCATACTTTTCTCTGCCGCGTAACTTTAATAATCGCCCGAAAAAGTTAGCACTTAATTAAAGCAAATGAAGTAATTATCATGAATAAATCATGGGCATGGGCTGCTAAATGAAATGAATGAAGCCATAAGCAATGCGACATCATCCAGGTGAACACAAGACAACTCCCTCGCCCTCGCCCTCTCCCTCTACTGGCGGGGTCTGGTCTGGGTCTGTGCTATGCTGTCCAGATGTTTCGCCCCCTCACCAGTGGCTCACAAATGGTGACGGCGGAGACTGGAGACCGGCGACGGACATTTGTCGCTTGGCGAGATTGATTGAGCGTAACCTCGACGCGTTTCTCATTGTCGGGTGAATTGCTGAAATTTCTTGGCGTCTCGCTGTGTTAAATTGCTTAAATTGCTCTGACAAGAGAACTCTGCGCAGAACCATTCACGGCCACAGCCAAAGCTGGCCAACGATGCATGCCCATCTATCTCATGACTGGGGTTTGGGTTTGTCCAGCAAGTTTTCTTTTTTTTTGGTTTCTTGGTGGAATTGCTGGGGATCCACTGAACGAGCGGCCGACTGACAACGGAATTGATTTAATGCTTTTTTGTCTCCCTCAATGCAGCAGCAGGCACCAGCCACTAGCCACAGGTGGAGTCGCAACGCGTCCCGTCCGAGTTGATTCGAGTCTCTTAATTGGCCTCACTTTGACTCTTGGCGGCGCTTATTCATGCGTTGTGGTTCTGCAACTTTTTGTGCCTTTTTTTGCTCAGCAGAAAACATTTTAATTATGGCCGAGTGATAGGCACAATCGTACAAGAAAGAGAGAGAGAGAGAGAGGCAAGGAGACTGGGACTGTGACAGGGACAGGAGAGGCATTGATAAACGCATAATTGCCTTCAATTAAGTTGCCCCACGGCGGTTGCACTGGCAAACAGTGGACACCTCGTCTTGGTGGGGAAACCTTGGGGCTTCACTTAATTGAGTTTGCCCCAGTTATCTGCTTGATGTTTATAGTGGAAATCGGCAAATGCTTGTTAGGAGTACTCCTTAAAGGGCTATTAAAGGGGGGGGGGGGCAGGCCACTTTTGTTGCGTTGAGGAAAACTAACAATGGGGAAGTGGAAATTTCACAAGAGCGCTCTATGAGGAAACCATTACCGATAAAGGCCTAACTATAAAGACTGCAGTTTTTGCGATATATTTTTAATGCATTTTGTTGTTAGGAAATCGGTTACCTCAGTCTACTCAGTCCATTCTCTGATTTAAGTGTCTGCCTCTGATGAACCCTAATGCCAGTTTGACAGATGCAATCCTCTAACTGTCAGATGTTTTTATGCAGTATCTATCGATGTCTATACAAATTTCTTTAGCTCTTGTTGTTCCCGCTACATAAGCAAAATTCTGGTGTCAGGTGTCAGGATCCGACTGTTTGAGTGCTCTTCCATTTAAAGGCAAGTGACAAACGGACGGGCGGCACACAAATCATTGGGCATAAATTATCTCAATCGCTTTTCTGTTTTAGGCTTGAATAAAATTATGACATGACGTCCAAATCCCCAGCACCGCCCCCTTGAAAGGGAAATGCAATGCGTTTTGCTTTTCTGTGCAATTTCCCAAGTACCAAAACAGAGCGAACCCGAGAGAAAAAAATATAGAGCGAGATAAAAGGAATTTGCATTTAACACGCAGTTGAATACCCTGGAAGAGGGGCATATTGAAATTTGGCCCCAATCCCGCAAAATTGATTCTTTATCGGCATGAGAAGATGCAGGAGCCGATAGTTCGTCACTGGCTGCCTTACTGGTGTTCCACTTGAATCGAATCAAAGCGAAGCTATGCTGATTCGCTTAGCTTGAGTTTCCCTAAAGGTTTCAGCACTCTTAAGCAGCATTTAGTTCTCATTTGTTGCTGATCGAAGACTGAACACTGTAACTGTAATTCTGTGGCTCCCTGTTGCTGCTGTGGCAACTGTGCTCTTATATTTGGCCTAAACTATGACCATTATATATAGAACGAGACTATACCGGCAGACTATAATTGAAGTTTTAAATGCTGGAAACAGTGAAATTACTCGTACGTTTATGATGTCACTGATGGCACATTCTGTGGCTCTCTGTGGCATTTGTGATCGTTGATAGTTCATACATAATCTATCAGAATGACGGAGAGAACCAACTAGGAAGCCTCATCTACAGGGGAAGAGTGATGGTGGAAGTGCCCGGCAAGGACCGATATGTCGATGCCGAACTCGACTTTGAACAGGATGTAGATAATGAATTCTGTGAGATCTTTAACAAACTTTCTAAGGTCTGAGCCACTCTACTATTGCAGCCGGAAAATGCCCTGACTATCGGCCGCATTTTGATCGACAACGAGAACTATGCTCAAAACAATGGCCCTCCCAAGGTGGAAGTCATCAGAGGTGGATTGAACCACACCCATGTTACGATCCAGTTCCAGTCGGATGAGGGCTTTGGCCTAATGTACAACGTCTATATCTATGGTGAATAATTGATTGCGTGCTCTCTTCGAGGGTATATAAACTTCGGTACTGGTTCTATTTTTAAATTGAATCATTTATTTATAAACAAGACTGTGTACCGTGGCGAGGGGATCGAGTGGAGCAACAGAACAATAGGAAGAAATCGATAAATAGAACGAGCATAAAAAATGCACAGCAAAAACAAAAAGGTCCCGAAACATCAGAACTGAAACGGCATTTCAATCAACAAACAAAAGTGTTGCATTGAAAATGGAAACGGGGAAATAGGGAAATGGGGAAATGGGGAAATGGGGTTGGGAACGAAATGGGAACGAGGGGGGAATGTTTTTGTTGCAAAGCCCCGGATTTTGGTTGTGCCTCTGATTCTGATTCGGATTCTGATTCTGGTTGAGCTTTTGTCGGTTTTGTTTCTGTTGCATATCGAATTTTTGTATTTTTTTTTTTTGCTGGCCAACAAAATGTTTTCACACCAACTTGGCCCGTTAAGGGGGGGTTTTTCTGGGCATTTAGTTCGCTCCTTTGTGATTTATTCGATTCCTGATGTCGGCTGCCTGCCAGAGAGTGGAATTCACTTGTTATTTGGTTTCTATTTGCTTTTTGTTGTAATTAAAAAACTCAACTTTAATCAATCGCCAGAGTCCGGTATCGGAAATTGACAAAATTCGGCTCTGTACTGGTACTCGTGCTTTTTAAAGGATGGAAGGCTCTGCATGGGGGGTGTTGGGAGGATGCATTTAAATGAATTTCAAGTTGAACAACAGCATGGAAATACGATAGTCGATGGTCGATAGTTGGGCTGGGAGCTCGTGTTCACAATTGGTTTTCCATCAAACAAATTGAAACACTCACTCACTTGGCCGTCTGGGCACCGTCTCTCTCCGGACTGCACTTAACTTAAAAACGTTTCATTTTATACGACCCCATACCCAATGCTCTCCTTCCTGCTATCCGGTTTTTGTTTCGTCCCCTTTGGGACCTTGGTCCATGGTTTGTGGTTCTGCTGCTGCTGGTGGTGGTGGTGGCCAGGGGAGGTTGCGGATTGCTGGCCATAAAGTATGCAACTTCATTGATAACATTTATTTCAAATGCACTCAAAAACCACTCAATAGTATGAAATTTGTTGCAGCTTATGTACCTGTAGCACACAAACACACACGCACACATCCACACATCCACACGAGAGATCCATTCAGCCATGGGCTCCATCCCTGGGGAGGCTTCAGGAGCGTGCTCGTATCGCATGTCGCTTCGCCAGCCCTGGCAAATGAGCATACAGATGGAGAGTGTGTGACAGGCATTCATGTAACTGCCAGGAAACGACGAGAAGATACCTCGCACTGAAGACACATGTGCATATATTCGAGGATATGAAAACTAAGGCTCTAAAGCCTAGAGCTTCATATATAAAATACTTCTTAAAAATTATTGAATGTGGGATACTTTCTTTGGATCGTGTATTGTGACAGCTGTGGATACCCCACCAATCGATGTCGTTAGTCGCTGTATAAATAGTTCTTTATTATATTTCCCATATGCTTTGCATGTCTGTCTGCCCGTCTGTCTGCCTCTCTGCTGCCAGGTTGCCCTGTCGATGGGCGTCCGCTGTGCCCTCTCCCCGTTTGTAAAGTATGTAACAATATATTCTGCCTTTGTGTTACATAAATTTCATTGAAGTGCTTCCATTCATGGCCCCATCGATGGGGGATATGTGTGCCTGTGTCAGTGTGTGGGAGTGCATATAGAGCTCTATAAATATTCTACATTGGAGATCAGACAGAGAGAGAGAAACGGAATCAGAGGCAGATTCAAGGATATATAGGCTATACGATGGCAAAGGCAGCAGCAGCCAGCTGCCACGTGCCTACTCGGTTGACATTCAATTAAACTAAACCTGGTGCAAGTCCCAAGAGATTCCGCATCCGAGTGAGACTGCCACAAGCTCTGCACTAACCTTGGAGCCACTGAAAGGGTCTCTCCACCACATTTCAGCCTTCATCTGCCTCTTGAATTTGTTTTTGCCTGTTCACTTATCTTTGTCCATACAAATTTTACATACATTCTTGTTTAATTATATATGTACATATATGCTGTTCTCTAGCTCACTCGTTTCATTCGCATTGCAAATTAACGAAACTTTTTTGAGTTTTATTGGAAAACGCTTCACAGAATTTGGGTGGTTGCTTTTAATTCATTAAGTTCTTTAAATTGAAACTTTGATTATGAATTATTTTATGCAAGTTTAATTCCTTTTCATACTACCAACAATTGCCAGAACTTAATTTGAACTGTTCGTAGTTGCTGGTAAATATTTGAAATTATCTCCAACTGCATGTACATTGTACAAGCATGGGCTTATCCTTCTGGGCTTATTCTCTGGCATCACTTTCAATTAATGTTAGTTTTGTGGACCTTAAAGCTGATTATATTTGCTGCTTTTCATTTGATTTGCCCTCCCATATTAGCCGTGCATCGGCAGCCGGGTATTATTTCCATTATAACTTATTGTCTTTCTAATTGAATGAACCATTCCATTCCGTAGTGGGAGAGGATGGATAATTCCCTGCCGCTGGCAAAAGTCTATTCATTTGCATACAATATGCCAGTTATTACACAATGATATAGGGAATACACATACATACACATATGAATAGTTATGTGTTGGATTCTAGTCTGGTTTTTGGCCATGTTTATGTGGCTGTATTGTGTGCTGTCTGGGTTGAATACCTAAAATATGGCCATTCCACCTTGTCAGGGTTGAGTTTTGCATAAATTAAAGAGCGAGAAATGAGGTGGGGGAATTACTATACACAAATATTTTGCAAACTAAAATAAATGTGTGTATTCGTCTGATTACGAGTCCAACAATAAAGATAGAGAAATGGTGAAAATCTGACCTACATTTTGCACAGATTTTGCGTCACATGCAAAAGTGAAATTTCATTAAATATCCAAAAGCCAAAAACAATGAGAAATGAGAGTTAGTGCCAGATCCAGACCCAGACCCAGAGCCAGAACTAAAGCCAGAGCACAGATAACAAATTACTTGTTATGAATAATAATGGAGTGCAACGTTCCCCTGACCCCAGCCAACCCTCTCTGTAGTGCCCAATCTTCTTATGGCATAAATGTAATGAATATCAGATGATGATGCCAGGGATGAGAACGAAAACGAGGAGACGTTGACGATGACAATGTTGACAAGCCGATGAGCATAAACGATATTTATATTGACCGGAGCAGCCTTGGGTACTCGTGTTCGCATTGCACGGGTCGTTCTGGAAACCTAAATCTGCGGACTCGGGTAAGAGTCGAGTACAAAAGAGATCTATGATCTGTTCGTTAACCTGGGTTACATTTTCGTTGACCGTACTACATATTAATGCGAAAATCTCTCCCTCATTTCGCTGAAGTACCAAAGAAATTTCAAACGATTGTCAGTTTCAGAATTCTTTGCACAAAAAAACGAGAAGGAACGTGTGAGTCGCTTCTGTAGACGCGACTCTACTTTTACTTTTAAGTACGGGTTACTTAGTCAGTATATAAATATGTGAGTTTTTCAAATTTTAAATATTTTTGCGACATCTATTATCTAGGAAATAGGCGTCAAACAAGACGGACAGATGCACAGACGGATATAGATATAGACAGACATGGCTATATAAACTCGGCTATTGATGCCGATCAATGGGGTCGGAAACGTATCCTACTCTGCGTTGCATACATTCACTTTTACCACAAATCTAATATACCCCCTAACTTTTTTTGAGTACGGGTATAAAAAAGCTGAAAATATCCAGAGCCAAACGGGGAAACAATGGGTAAAATTTCATTACCGGACGATGGGTGGATGTGGATCCACTCCCCACTGCAACTCCATTGCAAAGATGATGACGCTGGTGATGGGGTAGGAAGGGGGTTGGATGGGGAGGAGGTACTGCAATCTTGACGGGAATTGAAATTGAAAAGAAAATGAATGAAATGTGCCACGGAGGGAGGCCATGGTCCATGGACTATGGCAAATGGGAGTAAGGCTTACTTGGCTTGCTCTGAGCTCTGTGAAGTCGTTGCACAGTTGTCCTCTTCCTTGTCGTTCTGGTCCCTCTCATTGTCCCTCTCCATGTTGGCTGTCAACGCTACTATCATGTACCTCCCACCCTCCTGAGTACTATGGCCCCTCTGACAGTCCCTCCCACTCTCACTCTCTCTCTCTCTCTCTCTCTCTTCTCCTGTCGTCCCCTGGTTATATCCATTAAAAATATTATTCATTGAAATCGCAAGGATTTGCACAAAAATGCCTGCGATGAGCTCTTGTCGCTACATGAAATGCAATTGTCGAGAAAAAGGACTTAATGGGCTATGGGATAAGGATGCGTATATAAAGGGGACTGATGGGAGTATCTCCGTCTCTAGCGGATGGGGGAAACAACTTAATATATAGTCAAAAGTGTCTGTGCCACAGAGACAATCTCTAAAGACCATTAATAAAGTTCAAACTGGTTTTGATTTAATGGAAATTAATTAGGAAATTAATAATGAAACACGACTACGAGTATAAAACTCGAGCGGGTGAATAAATGATTTCCCATCTTTAATATTGAAGAAAATGAAGGAAATTGTACACATGGCAATGATAATCACTTCATCCCTAAGTGGAATATTTGAAAGCAAAGCACATTTGAAGTTATTATTCCCACGACCATATCAAGCAGCTGGGAAATTCTCGCCAATCCATTGTAAACGGCCCTTTCCCATATTCCCATACTTACTTGTATGCCAGCCTTCAAAATCGCATTCATTCTGCACAACTAGTACTGTGAGGTTAATACGGACTTGAAGATGGTCGCACTGCCTAGCGAACGGGTCGGACTTGGCCTAAGAGATAAGTGGAAGTGTTTCGTGCGGCCGTTCGTGACGTACGGGATGGTTTATAGAAGTCCGGAGGTGTGTCCCGAGCACACAGTACCTTACCTAAACCGGGAACAGCTAAAGTCTCTATGAATTGTATCAAATTGGGATTGTGTATAATAATCAGATTCCCTTTGTAGAATTATTGGATTTTACCCGAACTCGGAGGAAAGCAGCCATCCTGGCCGCAGGACCTGGCATCTGTTAGTTGTGATTAAAGTAATTATATTTTTCTCCTCACTGTGTTACGCCGTCTTCGAATCCTTGGACAACATTGTGGAATTGGGTCGGGATCTCGCATTCGTAATAGCGGTTCGAACGGAGACATTTCTGTTTGCAAACACTTCACTTCGACCTCCTTTATTTTCAGACGTTTTTTATCGGTTTCAAGGTATTTTATTTCCTTCGGTATGCCGATGACGTTGACGAGGTAATCGATGGCCTCGAGGTGTGCTATCGTACGGAGAGGAAGGGTCCGGCTGCTGCAGCAGTGAGATCTGCGAAACGTTTGCATTATTTGATCATCATCGGAATGCAAATAATTTGGTCAGTCTTCATGGTCGTCTTCATCCTACTGTTGATTTCCACGCCGCTCTGGACCCAATTTTCTCTGCCGTTTCATGCTGCCTTTCCATTTGACTTGCACGATTCATCTAAGCATCAATTCACACACATTCTCATCTACTTATCACAATCCTTCGACGCTATGTACTACCTCACGTGGCTGGTCTCTACCGAAGGCATGTCTGTGTCCATTTATTCGCAGCTTACGGCTGCTCTGAGTGTCCTTTGTGTTGAACTTCGGCACCTCCAACAGTTCTGCGATGGGGACGAGGATCTCATGCGATGGGAGATCCATCGTCTGGTCAGGTTTCATCAGAAGATAATCAGGTACGAAATTGTGAAATCTGTGAATCTGTGAAACAACTGAAGTTTGATTTCCACTGCACTTCTGTGTTCAATATTTTAGTCTAGTTGATCGAAGCAATGAGATATTCCACGGCCCTTTGATTATGCAAATGATTGTCAACTTTTTGCTGGTCTCCCTGTCGGTGTTTGAGGCAATGATGGCCAGGCGCGATCCCCAAGTGGCAGGTCAGTTTATTGTTCTGATGATTATGGCCCTGGGTCACCTTTCGATGTGGACAAAATTCGGGGATATGATGTCGGAGGAGTCGCTGGACGTGGCCAAGGCTGCCTACGAGGCTTACGACGCAAATGTTGGCACCAAGGGAATCTATTGGAATATTCGCTTTATAATTATGCGTGCACAGACACCATTGATAATGCGAGCGGCCCCCTTTCCAATCTTCAACATGACCAACTACAAAGCCGTGAGTTTTGTCGAAGAAGATAGATAAGTTGCCATAATAAAACTACCTTCAAAACTATCCTTTCAGATACTCAACCAGTGCTATGGAATCCTAACGCTCTTGTTGAATACCATGGAATAGATTCAAACCCATTCCGAAGCTTAGATGCACTTTTAGATCCTTTGCACTTGGCTTCTAACTTAGTTTTTAATTCACTTATATTTAATCGATTCCAATATTAAACACTACCCTCCCCTACCTACCTACCTGGAATTCTTTATCCTGCTGTTGGTCGAAACTATATCAATATATGTAAATCCAATATCGGTACGACACAGGCACACAAAAATAAGTGTGTGTGTGTGTGTCCTTTCAATGCCGCCGAGCTGGATAATCACTAGGCTCATTATTCCAATCCGCAAGTGGAACACGCCAAGAATGGTATTTGCAAAGACCAATTGGAGTTATTTTTCCCAGGCCCTAAGAAGCAGCTGTGAAATTCTCGCCAATCAATTTCCAGTGGGAACATTTTTAGCATGCGTACCTCGACGTTCATTCAGCCTGCACACCTAATACTGTACGGTTTATAAGAACTTGAAGATGGTCGAACTGCCCAGCGAACGGGTCGGATTTAGCCTGAGAGAGAATTTGAAGGGTTTCATGGCACCGTTTGCCAGATTCGCGTTGACTTACAAGACTCCGGAGGAGTGTCCCGAGCACACTGTGCCATACCTAAACCGAGAGCAACTAAAGTCTGTATAAAATGTGATTGTAGGAATTATGTACATATTGTAACCAGATTCGGATTACAGGGCCTTGGGATACTACCCAAACTCGGTGGAACGCAGCCTGTCTGGCATGAGGATCTGGCACCTATTTCTTCTTATTAAGGGGACGATATTTTACTGTTCAATGTTATACGCCGTTTCCGAATCCTTGGAGGACATCGTAGAATTGGGACGAGATCTCGCATTTATAATTGCGGTTAGAATGGATAGTTTGCTTTCGATACGAGTATACGCCACCACTCTTTTTGGTTCTTTATTTTCAGACGTTTTTTATATATTTCAAGGTAGTTTTTTTCCTTCTGTATGCCGATGACGTTGACGAGCTAATCGATGGCCTCGAGGAGTGCTATCGTTCGGAGAGAAAGGGTTCGGCTGCTGCAGGAGTGAGATCTGCGAAACGTTTGCATTATCTGATCATCGTCGGAATGCAAATAATTTGGATGGTTTCCATGGTCGTCTTTATAGTGCTATTGATTTCTACACCCATTTGGACACAGCAGGACCTGCCGTTCCATGCTGCCTACCCGTACCACCTGCACGATCCATCGAGGCACCCGAGAACACACATTCTCATCTATATATCGCAATGTTTCGACATTCTGTACTTTCTAATGTGGCTCACTTTTACCGAATGCATGTCTGTGTCCATTTATTCGCAGCTTACGGCTGCTCTGAGTGTCCTTTGTGTTGAACTTCGGCACCTCCAACAGTTCTGCGATGGGGACGAGGATCTCATGCGATGGGAGATCCATCGTCTGGTCAGGTTTCATCAGAAGATAATCAGGTACGAATCTGTGAAGCAACTGAAGTTTTATTTCCACCACAGTGTTCAACATTCTAGTCTGATTGATCGAAGCAATGAGATATTCCACGGCCCTTTGATTATGCAAATGATTGTCAACTTTTTGCTGGTCTCCCTGTCGGTGTTTGAGGCAATGATGGCCAGGCACGATCCAAAAGTGGCTGGCGAGTTTATAGTTCTGATGCTTATGGCCCTGGGTCACCTTTCGATGTGGACAAAATTCGGGGATATGATGTCGCAGGAGTCGCTGGACGTGGCCGAGGCTGCCTACGAGGCTTACGACGCAAATGTTGGTACCAAGCGAATCTATTGGAATATTCGCTTTATAATTATGCGTGCACAGACACCATTGATAATGCGAGCGACCCCCTTTCCGATCTTCAATATGGCCAACTACAAAGCCGTGAGTTTGACTGAGTTAGACCCTGTAAAGGGTAGCCCTATCACCCCCATAACTATCCTTTCAGATACTCAACCAGTGCTATGGGATCCTCACGCTATTGCTGAATACTTTGGACTAGATTAATCTCAGCATATGTACTATTTAGATGCACTTTTGGGTACTTTGCACTTGACACAAGCAGCATGCTTCAATTCACTTATATTTAATGGAATCCCATATTAAACGCACTGCTTTCCCATCCCTCAAATCCCGAGTTCTGGATGCATCCACAGCTCTAACGTGTTGCCATACTTTAATGAACGCTCTTTTCATAACCGATTTCCATAATTGCTTTTTGTTAGTCGTTTGCCGGCAAACTAATTTCCACGAATTTCAGTATATTTGCGTCTAATGCGCCACTGCCGCCAAAGATGGCAATGAATGGGGGGGAACGGGAACACACGCAACAGCATCTGTTCATCTGTGATGCTGCTCATGTTGCAGGGAGTGGCTTAGGCCCAGAGCTGATAAATTGGAAGTGCATTTGACGCTGAAACTCCTCTTGCTGCCGCCTGGCGGAAAAGATGTTACTCGTGGCACATTGTTGTTGCTGTTGCTGTTGCATGTTGCCCCTAATATGGCTGCTGCTGCTGCTGATGCTGCTGCTACTGATGTTGCTGCCTGTGCCTGTGTCTGGTCTGGTCTGGCACTGCAATTGCATTTGTTTCAGAGGCAGCATGCCTCTGCTGCTGTTGTTCTAGCTGCCATTGCCGTTGTCATCTTTCTTCGGCCACATTGGCGCGACTCTCTGTTAATGAAAATGCCAGAGCAGGCAACGCTGCTGCCACATCCGTTGTCTCATAAGCATGCCTCTCTATGGGCGGTGCCGTGGCCAAGTGTGTCCCTGGGTTATGCTGCCTCTGTCCCTGTCCCTGTCCCTGCCCCTGCCACAGCCCACAGCCGTTTCTTCTGTCATGAGCGATGCCTTGGCCAAGTGTTGCCGCCGCGCCGTGCCGGTGACAGCCGGAGAACCGGCAGCAGCAGCAGCAGAAGAAGCAGCAGCAGCAACATCATCATCATCAGCATCTACATATACGACTATACCTCGTACATGAAACAACAGCAGTTGCATCTCCTCGACGCTCCCGCCGCAACAGTCACGCTTGCCTGTCAAACACTCTGGCAGACTCTTACGGCCGCTCCGCCTCTTTGGAATCCCTCCTCCCCCTGCTGCGTTCCATTCGCTTGGCAAAATCCATTTGCATATTTTCATCCTTATGCCCCCGACAGTTAACAGTGCCCCATGCCACATACACCGTACTCCTGGCTCCCCGCCACTCTTTGGCCTACCTTTGGCTGGCGGCGCGCTTTTAACGACAAAGTGTGAAATTTCATTGAATTTGAGCTCGTTGACAAAAGTGGAATGGCAACAGAAACACACGTAGAACACAGCGGCAACAATCGCTGGAGTACACTGACAGAAAGACGGGGAGGATCCAAGAGATCATCAGATCATCCTCCTTATTTTCCAACAATTTTATTTTGTAATTTTTGCATTGAATTTGTTACTTTTTTTAATTTCTCGTTAGCCTTGAGATTTTTCTCTCTGTGCATCAATACTGCAGGTGTTGTAATATCTTGTTGTTGTTGTTGTTGTTGTCATTGCACTTGTTGTTTTGCAAATTAATTTAAATTATAGTTTTTCTGCTGTTTTGTTATCGCACATTAGCCGGTTAGGTGGAGGATACATTTTAGAAGGTGGCTGGAAGGGGCAGTGTCATGGATCGCTGGTAGTGCGGATGGGGGCCCAAACGAGTATTACATGTATTTATGTTTAACTGGCTAATTTAGTAGAAAATGATAGCCGCAATTAATATGCCATTGAAGTGGCAACGACAGGAAGGGTCTGGATGCCGTTTTGCATTGCATGTTCAGTATGATTTTATGCAAATTTCTAGAGAGTAATGGAGCACAAATAGAGCGAAATATGTGGGACAGTGGGGACTAGTTCCATAGATATATGTATGTATGTGATATTCCTTCATTTTAATTGAAATCAGTACATGAAAATTGGATGAATATCAAGTATGGAGTACCCATAGAGTAGAAAGTTCTTTAATAAATAGTATGCCAGAGTCGTAATATACTTTGTTATATATACTTTGGGCCCTGTGATCGATGGTTACCGCCAGCACCTTCCACCAATTCAAATCGTGCTCTAGAAATTCTCCGAGCATTCGCGCAGCTCTGTGCATGGACTTTAAGTAATTTTCTAATGACACCACAGAGGAAAAATGACTGTCGGTGCCTTTGGGGTTACCTTTCCCCCCACTATCCCTCACTATCCACCACTATGCTCGCCTATACCCGTTATCCTGCTGGCAACGTTCATTAGATTAAAAGCAATTTACAGTAAAACTTTTACCCACTAAACGCCTTCTGCCTCCTGCCCGACTGCTCCTCCACCACCTCCTCTTCGTCCTCCTCCTCCTCCATATCCTTGTGGTGGGGCAACAGCTTCTGCTCGTCCTTCCTTTTGCGGTGCCTCAGCTACTGCTCCTCCATTTCCATGTGGTACCACTGCTCCTTCGACTGCACCATACACACACACACACACACACGTGCTGCAGCAGTTTGGTGACACTCACATGTTCCCCAAACGCCGTGCACCATTTCACCACCCCACTCTCGCTCTCTCTTCCGCCAGCAACCCCCTCTTTCAGAGTCATTTGGCGCCTCTTTGGGTTTTTATTTTTTGGAATTCAACAAATTTGCGGATTTGGTTTGTAATTTATTAAATTTATCGCATGCTCAGAGCGCCTTAGCAGGCTTCCGTCCAGGGGAAGCATGACCTACCCTTCCCACCTACCCCTCCGCGCCACAAAATTCCCTCATGCGCCTGCTAATGTCTGCGGTGTTGCCTTCCCAGGATGGGGACACCCAGAGTCCTTCTGCTTTCAGCATCTGCAACATTTGTTGATGACAACCGAAAGACACAAAGTGCAACATTTCGTCCATTCTCTCTCTCTCTCACTCTGTATCTGTGTGTGTGTGTATGTGTCGTTGTGCGTGTGTGGAACGCCCATTTAGGGGTAGTCATTCGGAGCTTAGAAGTTATTATTTTGATTTATAGAAAAAGTTGGTTTAGCGAGCGAAAGTTGCTCGTACATATAGCCGGCGAGCAGAGTAGACGACGAGAGACAAAATTAGCAGAAAAATGGGTAAAAAGGCGAGCCAGCAGAGGGGCAAGGCAGCATCCACATCCTGCCACTCTTTTGGCCCCTCATGCAGATATGGAACCACTGAAAAATAACACCATCTATGGCACACACAATTCCTAATCACGTAGCCAGAATCAAGAATATACAAAATGCTCTCAAACACACACACAGGAAAATTATGCACTAGGTTCCCTCTTGGGTGACGGCTGCCACCTGCGCCAGGACCTCGTTCTCCGGCAGCTCCTTCTGCCGCTGGACGCCACTCGAACAGGGAATATCGTCGGGACAGCAACCCGAATTGCCAGCACTTCCGCCCGAGTGATCGTCCTTACAGTAGGCATCGTGCAGCTCCGAGCAGTCCGTGTTGGAGATGTTCCGCCAGCCCTGGGCATTGATGTGGTACAGCCGGACAATCCCACCCGAGTAGGCGTCCTTGCTGGTGGCATGGTAGATGGCACGCCTGGCCAGATCGAAGGCCTCCTGATCGGTCATTATGTAGCGGTGACCCGTGTCGAGGACGCCCAGGGCATAGGGCGAGCCGCTGCCCACCGAGAAGACATTGCCGTGGCAGCGCACCCCTTCCGAGTCCACGTAGATGAGCTTCGGTCCCTCGTCGTCGTAGCCGGCCAGCATCATGCCCATGACCAGGCCCATGCCCTTGTATTCGGCGGAAATGTTGACGATCATCCGCGCCGCCGCGTCCACGGACATGCGACGCTTGAAGCGCAGCTCGTGCAGCCGGCAATCCCGAGCGAGCACTCGATCCCAGTAGACACAGTCGGCAGCTCCACCGGCCAGTGTGCCCAGCATGTAATCGTTCAGCTCGACGATCTTCTTCATCGTCTGCGATCCGATGTACTGTCCCGAAGTGGCCCTCGAGTCCGCGCAGAGCACCACTCCGCCCTGGTACTTGAATCCCAGAGTGGTTGTGCCATGGGCAAAGTCCATTTTGATCCCACAATGGTCCACAATTTTGCATAGATTCACCGCTGGCTGGGAGTATGTTGTATGGAATGGTCAACACCTTGTGGATTGGAGGGCTTACATTTTCGAAGGGTGGTGCCATCAGGGCATAGGGATTCTCAAAGTTGCTGGTGGCATCGCGCAGCTGCTCCATTTGCCACTCGCTCTGGAGATGATCGAAGCGGCGCATGAAGGGCCATCGATTGACGCCGCAAATACCTTCTAGTGCCATGGATGTGGATGTGGAATGGCAAGTACATACGCGAAAATTTAAGCGAATTAAATAAAAATATATAAAATGGAAAGAAAAGGAAATGTATTGGAAAACACAATGTTAAATAATTTTTAAAGATTGAAACCCCTAAGGTTTGGCAGATGAATTTTTAGTTATTATCAAAGACTACCCTTTTTCACGCCACTTCTATTCAGCATGCAATCCAATCTGATCCACATCCGTATCCGTATCTATTTGCACGAGTAGTTCAAAGCCTCATCCATGCCGTTGCCGTTGAATGTTCCGCTCTGATGAGCAATCAGCAGTGGCAAGGCCAATCACATTACCATTTCACACTGGACTCCCCACGCACAGTCCCCAGTCCGGTTCAACTGCAGCGTGGCGCCACAGCACCACAGAGAGATACACGATATTTTAATTGGACTTTTACCAGTCCCAGTGCTTCATCTCCGTCCCAGCATCAGCAACGGCATTGGCACCTGTGGAGACTCGCAAATCAACCCAATAACGGAATGAAGAAAGAAAGAGAAAGTAGCATGGGGCAGAGCAGCGTCCCGCCAACACACCTACGCCCAGGCTGTGGCAAACGGATTAGCCGCTAATTAAACGCCAATTGGAAATGTTTGCTAAACTGTTTGAGTCCCCAGATCGGTGGTGTGGGGTCGACTGGGCCTCCCTGGTCGGGGGAGGGCTGCATCTGGATGAATAGCCTTGCAAAGTATTTCCAATGCTTTCTTTCTCTCTCTCTCTAATCTACTCTACTCCTACACTGTCTCCTCTATCCCTATCTCCCTGACGCTGCCATGTGTCACTGATCTAAATTTATGCAAATTGCCAGCTGCAAGTGGCCTAGGAGTTGCCACTGCCACTGCCCCATCTGGTCGGTCCCCAGCCGGGTTTTGCACATTTCATTTTTGCACGCGCCTCCATTCGCGCCTGCACTTTTCTATGCTCTGCCCTTTTAATGACAGGAGGAAGGGGGCCAGAGAACGAGTGCAAGGGCGGGAAGAGGAGAGAGCCATTCATTTGAGTAAAACCCTACCAAAAGGGATGCCCTTTCGACTGAGAGCGTAGCAGACAGCGTAAAGGTTGGAACATCAAGGCTAGAAATTACCTTTAATATGGATCAATTTCACGCACATTCAAAGATTGCAGCCATAGGAAAAATCCGCACTGAAAGGGTATTCCGCATTTCGATTCTTTCACAAACTGTCCTTATAGTTTGTTGGTTCTGGATAGTTTTTCTGGTCCCTGCTCCCTGATTATTAAATCACAAGGCAGGCTCCAAACTGGAACCGGGAGCAGCAATCTGATATGCAAAATCTGGTGCAGCTCAGCTCAGCTCAGACTCAGGGAATTGGAGTGCTTCTCCTGCAGCACCTCCTCTCTTCCATCTTCTGTTCTACGTTAATTACAGCCCAGTTGCAGTTCTGTGTTCTGTGCTCTCCCTCTCTGTCTCTCTGGCAACAACTTGTTAAAAATGTCCGTGGCCAGTTTATTAGAGGGCAACTAAAGCAGCAACCGCATCCACGCTCGCTCTCGCTGGCTCTCGCTGTCCTCCAGTGCAGTGGAGTGCCGGGGAAAATTACTTGAGAGTTTAGCGTGAACCTGTTTTAATGACTAAAATGACGCCCAGTCAAGGGCGGGCGAGTGAGAGATTTGGGCACACTGGTGCCGGCGCCGGTGCCGGTGCCGGTGCCGGTGCAACAAACTTGAGCTTGTTGAGTGGAAATTATTGCAGCGATTCGGGTGCGGGAGGTGAAGATTTAATTTAATTTTGAGACATAATCAGGGGGGGTTGCATCTTACAACACGGCTACACAAGACGTACTTAAAGTTTGCTGGAAAGTTGCCTGGCAGCTGTAAAATAATAATCATAAAAACTAAACCATTTTGTAAACAGGCCATAGAAATACATCTAGAAATGTTTCGGAAGCTTGCAAAGTTTCCTAAGCTTTTCTGCATTACACAAAGAAAAGAGAGGAAACCATTTGAAGGAATATTTTATTCCACTTTCGTTTTATTCACTTGTGCCACTTGGCATTATTGTTTTAAAATCCTTCAAATCCGTTGTTTTACTGCTTATTGTCTGCTCTCAGCTCTCAACTTTTGTTGCGAAGACAACTTTTAAGCTCTGCTTAAGGCGGCCCAAGGAGCAGCCCAAGGAGAATCCGGTTAGCCCACCCAAACGTACCACCGACATTCCAACTCCTCCCCCAACTCTGTCCAGCATTACGGGAAACTTTGCCATGCACCACGTCTGCCATCGAGCTCCATCGAGTTGGTACTCGCAGTTCATCATCTGTCTCGGACCTGTCCCAAAAGCCGTACGCGGAATTTGACAGGCCACCTAATTGACGGCGCCGTGTCTCCACGAAAACAGTTTTGACATTTGCGACCGCGCGCACAGCATTTAATTAATTTTAATTGAAAAAGGCCCGCAAAATGGATTAGCTTGTCTTGGTTCCGGACAGCGGATAGCGGACAGCGGATAGCGGACAGGACAGGGGACACAGCACTGGACCACGACCCAAAACAAAGTTCAAAGTTTAGGCTGCACAACCAAACTTAAAAACTTTTGCACCCGCGTTGCTTATGGGGTCATGTTGTTGGTCTGACAGCCACTCCGCCGCGGCGGCAATCCTCAAGAATCAAAGTCAAACACAAGCCAGTGCCAGTGCCAGCGCCAGCGCCAGCGCCAGCGGCAACGGCAACAGCAACTATTTTCACAGCCAAATAAAGTAAACAATTTTTACGATGATGCATTAGATTAAAAACTTTGTCCGTCAATGGTAGCTCCACACACACACACACACAAATGGGCGGGCGGATGTGGCCAGCACATGAGAATGTAGATGTGGAAATGGATCTGCTTATTTATAGGCCAGATTAATATTTTTTTTAAATGGAAAGCATTTCTAACCCCCACTTCCCCCCTCAAGTACAGTCATAAAACAAAGTTTTCCATCTTCAGGTTCAGCTTCAGCAAACTTTTCCATCAGAAACAACTTTTGTAAGATTTTAACGACTTTACTTTGCATTGCAATGACTTTCTCGCAGTGAAGGACCTCCTCCTTGTCATGCCCCGCCCCACCATATAGAAGTCTAGTCTCCGATTCGATTTTAATGCTTGACACAACATATTCGCTTGAATTCCATGGCCGCCGCCGCCGGCATATGTATCTCCTCCTCCTCACATAAGTATAGGCCGGCTAATTGTTGCGCCTTCGATTTTATGGCACTTGGAAAGCCATTAATCCGTATTTGATATCCGTCTAATTAGTTTTGCTGCCCCCTTCCGGCCCCCTTTCGCGCCCTAGAGCATTTTATGGCCAACACACTTTGGGACCGGCTCTCGTAAATTTTGATGATCGATATACGAGTATCTCTGTGTGGCGGGCAAACGCGACAAGAAATTGTCGTAAAACAAGAGAATATAATGGTTTTGACACATCGTTTCCGAATGGGAAAGCTGGCTAAAGAATTCAATTTGCCCCTCCCCCCACCCACCTCCGCTGGTATGAGCCTGAGCATGGTTAATTTCCTTGAACTTGATGGGCAGCATACGTATTCCCTTGACCATGGAGTTACGCAGTATCTGCACTGCCCTTAGTCGTCCCAAAAAGGATGGTTCAGTGTGGCATGCCGGAAAAGTTGAGAGGATTAGTAGCTGAAATGAAACGAAATGAAACGGTGCGGGACGTGATGCCGCATTGGCATTGGGCGGCAAACAATGCGAGATGTGCTCTTTGTTTGTTGGCCAAACCCGACAAGAGACCCACCATTCACGCGGCCCAACAAGAGACCCGTGCAGAGATGCACAGAGGGATGAGTTACATTGCAAACAACGCAAAAGTCGTAATGACCGGAGGAACTGTTAATGTGTCAGCCTGCCCCACTGGCCCCACTGCCCCATACCACAACCCTACTGTTGCTGCTGTTGCAAGCGATGCGTGGCCGCTGACGGCGCTTTGTGCACGAACTGATTGGCCAAGGATTTTTTCGCAATTTGCTGCACAAAGCGCGGAAATTTGATTCGGCCACATGGCCAGGGCCTTTGTCCATCGCTGACAAGAGGCGAGGCACAGCAATGCGAGCCACGCGGCACTAATCAGAAGCTTCTAGTTGCCTCAATTACAGATGCCGTCGCATGCCCCATTTCACCGTGTGATGTGCAAAGCATACAACAATGAAAAGCATGCCCATTTCCCTACAGGCGATAAACTTGACCGATAGCCGAAAAGCCGCGAAATACTCGTAAGTAAACATGTTTTGCCAGCGCAGTGGTTATATTTTTTGTATCAATTACCGGCAACTGCAGCACCTGAGGCCAATTGCCGCCCCATAAATGTTGTAAATGAACAGCAACAAAGAAAAAACAGCAGGAAAATAAATAAAAAACATTTTAATTAATTGAATTGAATGTGTCCGGGCCCCATAGGCTCCATAGCTCTACTGGAGCAGTGCCGCGTCCAAACGTTCCAATTGCGTTAACGTTGCAGTTAATTAACTTTTCCCTGCATTAATTAATTGTATTTTTTGAGCATGTTTTTGCCAAAGGATGCGAAGCATTTAGCTCTCAAATTAGGTCGATTTTCATTCGCTTTCATGTCTACCAGGCTACCCATTAATCAAATTGTGTTAAAAGGCATTAAACTCGAATGGCTGTGGTTGCTTTGCAAATGCTTTACACATTCACTTTGTGTATGCCCAAATTGTGAGCCATTAATTGCCATTTTATTTGTGGCCCTAAAATGCTGCAAAAATGAGTGGCTTATGTGAGCCAAAAGCTGGCACAAGCTTTCTCTGTCATTCTGCCGTTTTGTTTTATTTTCTCCGCTTTTGTGCGTGGCCGGACAGTTTCGCTTGGCCAAGAAGTGTCGTGAAATTCTTTTTAATAATGCAAGTTTGCACATTTTTAATTGTAGCGCCGACAGCTGCAAGAGCCCGGCTGCTCACTTGACCCACAAAGGTGTGGCTGCTGCTGTTGCGGCAAGCGTTTTTCTTAGTCGCTGCAAGAAAGCAGGGGGGAAAAACAAACTACTCTTGGCACCTACGCTCCCACGCCCCGCCCAAAACGTATATGTGGAAGGTATATATACGCTCCATAAAGGGACGCGGCAAGGACATTACGACTAAATGTAAACAGCTTAATTAAAAAATAAAACTCCGCTCGGCACGTACACGGTGGAAAAAAAATGCAGCACAAGGGAAACTATCACACCGCACACACACACACACATGCATGCCGCATGCATGCTGGGCACCAGCTTTTCCACCCGCGCTTTTCCACTATGAGAAGGTGTGCATGTGTGTGTGTGTGTGTGTGTGTGTGTGTGTTCGCTCTCTTTATTTGCTTAAATGCACGAAAGTGTTTTTAATTTAATTTTTCGTCTTTCTGCACTCGCTTCTTCCTCGTACTTTGCTCTTTGAGGCAGTTCCTAATTAAAATGAAAGTAATTTTTCATCAGCCACAGTGGAAAAAGTAAAATAATTTTCATCACCGCTCACCCCGCTGAAGTGCTCATTAAAAAATGTTTCAAAACGTTGCAGTTTTTGAAATGCACTCGCACATCTACATCTTCTAATAAAAAAGAAAAAAAAAAAACAGAAAAACTGAAATGTTTGCAATGTTTTCAACGGGAAAATTGAAAATTATTTCCTCCAGAGTCTGGCGCCAGCTCCTCCCGTTCCGTTTTTTCCCCTTTGTCGTCACCAGCCAGCCAGCTGTTCGAGTGTTTTTCCAAGTCGAAACTTTTCTTTTAAATATTTTCCATACTTATCCCAGAACGAAGTGCGGCAAAAGTTTTATGCATACGCATTGATGGGTGGTGAGAAGGAGGCAGAGATATGGGAGCGTGACTGTGGAGGGGGGGAATGCCAAGATTCCCTTATGGATGGTCCACTGCATAAAGAGGATGCCGTCAGCGGGGTGTAATTATAAAGTTCTCACCCGGGGATTAACTTTTCTTTTAGGAATTGTCAATTGAATAACATTTATGGAGTCCTCAAATCCATTTATTCGATGGCTAAGTCAAATAAATCCTCAAACAAATCTCCCGTACCGTCCCTCGCATACATTTGCATAGCTGATTGAAAGGCTCTCTGGATGGAGCAACCCTCGCACTCGCACTCGCATGCTCTTCCCAATTTGCATGCCAAATTGTTTACTTCTGGCATTCAAATGCACTTTATCAATTCAAATTGAGTTGAGTTGCATGACGACTTGGGAAATTAGTTTCCAGCTAAATTTCCACAAACAAGAAGCATAAAAAATGTGTTTGCCTTACAGATAAGTTATGCATACTCGTACAGACTCGTCCTTATGCGTAATAGATGCCAGGGATAAGGTCTGGTGTGGGGCTGGATCTCTCAGCTATCTGGTGCATGAGTGCAAAAGTCAGCTTCTTGCTTTTTGGGCTGCTTACTGGAGAGTTATCCATTTGGGCGGCACTGCAACACTAGCCAAATGGCGCAATCAAAGCAAACGAATGTCTATTTAATTGTGTCTGCAGGCGATGTCGATGCCTGGTCCTGGTCCTGGTCCTGGTACCCAGAGGCGAGTAAGATTGCCCCGATGGCGGCAGCATCAAATGCACTTTAGCGGAGGACCACGTTAACTGACACACGAGACACACAGATGATGGGCGGGAAACCACCGCCCAGCAGTCAATGCTGGAGATGGAGTCGCGGAGTCACAGCTAGAGTCACAGCTGGGGCAGTGAGGCTGCGGTGTGGCTGCCACACCTGCAATTTGAGCAGCGTCGCGGATGCCGGTGTCGCGGTGTGTACACTGCGTGGGGGTGACAGGCAGGCAGGCTGGCTGGCTGGTTGGCTGGCTGGCTGGCTGCTTGGATAGTGGTAAAGTGGTAATGGAGAGGAACTCAAATGAAGTCATAAAGTCTGATTTCGCCTGTTCATACTCATTATCACGTAACGTCTCCGTGTTATCGTGCCGCTGCTGCTGCTGCCGCTGCTGCTGCTGATGTTAATGATGATGAGGATGATGATAATGATGTTAGCCAAGTGGCATCGCACTTTCTCTGTAAAAGAATCTCTCCACATCTATTTGAAGGAGCAGCTGTTGGTGCGACGATAGTAAACTTTCTGACCAAAACTGACACTTTTGTAAAACAATTTAAAAAGTCATTGTCATCGGCATGCGAATCCTTCTGCCTTGTGGCAGTGGCTCCCATTTCTCGTTTCGTCTTCTAGGCACTCATGGCTACACCCATGACTGTGTCCTGTCAATTGCGCTGTCATTTGTTTTGTTGCCCATTACAGCGGCGGTCAGTGTCCCGAATACCGAAGTTGAAAACAAAATTGTCACTGCAGCAAGTGCTTTGCTGGATCTGAAGTGCGAGGTGCCGCGACAAGCCACGGGAATCTCCTCCAACAGGCAATACTCTGACCGAATCTCTCTGTTGCCCAGTCAGGTTGACTCCTCGGGAAGTGTGTCCCAACTTCGTTGCCGCCACAAAACTCTGCCACCTCTCTCACATCCTTGTTAGTTGGGTTCTGTTTGTGTCATGAAACTTTTAACTATGGGTTACTTGCAGGAGCTGGAGCTGGAGCTGGTGTCTCCTTTGTTTTCGCTGCTTACGTGACAGGGCAATTTTGAAAATAATTTCAAGTCTTGCAGCCAACACGCCCCGCAGTAATTGTTGTTACGTTCCAAGCGAAACAAAACTATCACTCAAAGAGGAAGGGGTAATGGGGAAGGCAAACAGTTTCCCATTTGTTCAATTCAAGTCAGTGGAATACGACCATGACAATAGACTATCGATAAGGAAATATGGCGATCAATTACCTCACGTTTGTGATTAATTTTCGCCAAAGAAGTTCACCAGAAGGAAAACGAGAGAGAGAGAGGGAGAGAGTGAAAAATGTGTACATTTTGCCCCATAAAAGTCTTGGTAATTTATATAAAAAGTGAAAATGTTATGCTCCCCCAAATGGGATTCATTTCACGATTATCAAAGTCTTTGGAGGCGCCACCCCAACTCCAAGCCCTGTCCCCGTGCCAAGCAAGCAAGCGCTCCACGCCCTTTTGATTAAGGGACAATAACCTTGCAGCAAATGTTGCTGAAATTCATTATTGCATCGTAATGAGGGTAAGTGGTGGAAGGCAATGGGCAATGGCTCCCAACAGTGTAATTTGTGCTGGCGAAAGCCACAGGATTTTATTGAGCGGAAAATTAAAAGCATAAAGTTGCACGCTTTAAATTTAAATGCAAGACGGTGCCAGTGGCAGGACTGGAGCAGAGTCACCCACACAAGTCCACGGCCAAGATTGCTGCCCCACTCCCAAGTGCTCCTAGTCCGCTGCTGCAATCTCCCGGCTTGGACTCAGGCGCATACTAAATTCTACTTATTGACAGGCTGCACATGGCAGAACGTGTTCCGATAAGCGTTGTGCCACTCGTCCATACTAGTCGCAGTGCGTTGCAACGTTGCAACGTGGCAAGAAACCAGTTGACAAATTGTGATTGCGGCATTAGTGGCAACATGAATCTTCCGCCAGCAAGGGGGTACCCATATTAATTGGGTAAATTATGACATATTTCTGAGTGAGAAATATATTTTAATATCTCCACGGGTTACCGGGGTGCTCAGCAGTTTTCCCATTTTCCCCCAGACTGCAACTCGCATTAGATATTCATGAGTTGCAAACTAAGCAAGGAGAAGATGAGACCCCAAAGGACTGCAGAGTGGAGGAGCACAGGAGTGTGCAGGACTGCACAGGAAGGTTGAAAGAAGGAAACAACAGACATTACTACCCCTTGAACTCGACTGCATCCGCATAGGACAAGCCTCATTATCGTTGCAGATTATGACACTGTCTTCATCAGAGCTGTGAAAGTGCTGCCAGGAACGCAGGAGGACGGATCCTTTTGAGCAACTTAAAGCGAAGCTTTTCCCGGTGCAAAGTGTTTTATTGAGTGGCCAGACGAGTTTCAGGAATATTGAACTGGGTATGATGGTCGAGAAGGTCGAACTGCAGAATCTTGTAGGTGGACACCAGCCACTGGCCCATGCAGCGACTGTTCTCCCGCACATTGCCCATCGGTGTGGGTGTGGTGGAATAGTCCCGACGATAGCGGACGAAAATCTCGGCAAAGATGAGTGGATGGTCCACAGTCAGTTGCGATTTATTTGAATGCTGCCGCATCAGAAGCTGCACCTCGTCGAGATCCTTGGACGAACTGAAGTCGTTGGTGCGACGCAGCGCCACGTAGACCACGTCGATGAAGGCAAACTTGTGGCCGTAGTGCCGCAGTAGCTGCACCTTCAGCGGAATGGAACGATATATGTGTTGGCGCTCGAAGCGCATCATGTTCAGCCGCCAGTCGCGGGCTCCGTCTATCAGGTCGTGACTGATCTGCTTGTATCCCATGGGCGTGGAACATCGCTCGACATTGCGCGACCGATGGCGCCGTACGAAGTCGGTGATGATGAGCGCCGCTTGGCGGGAGTTCTCCAGGAACCTGGCCTCTGAAAAACCCCAGTCCCACAGTAATTTGAGCTTCAGCAGACTCAGCTTGCTGGTGAGCAGGCTCCACGGGCTGTAGAAGTAGATCATGGCCGGCAGCGACACATCCCGCGGCCTGTCCACGCTGCGCACAACGTCCAACTGTATGTTGAGGCGATTCGTCTCGGTGCTCCTCCTCAGATCCGGCTGCGGACTCAAGAACGTCTGACGGCCATTGACCGGGGCCTGTGTGCCCAGCAAACGGATCGCTCTCCGCTCCTGGCCATGGTGCGGTGTCCGATGGCACGGAAATATCCGAGGGAGCTGCAGTGGGAGGTCGAGTCTGAGCTTCGGTCTGACCATCATGTTTCCATTGTTGAATTTTGATCAAACTTTCCCAGATGTTAGCCGAAACATATCACCCGCATCTGAGCTCTAGTTCCCAAATGACGTAAGAGTCAAAGGCGAAACATCAGCCCCAGACACGGCAACGGAACGTGCCAAACACAATTAGGTAACCCCCCGTAGATCCGTTGTTTGCATTTCATAAACTTTGACAAATCTAATTTCGCATATTGACGGCAACAATGAGCTCTAATTGCGCAAACAGGGAGACTAAGAGACTCGACTCCACATGGGAGTTGGCATCTGGCACACACACACACACACACACACACATCAATCGGCGGCATCCCGCAGGAGTTTGGCAGACATTGATGCAGAGAATGTGGCCTCTCCTCTCATCAGTGCGGCACATCATGCATTAGAAAATGCGAAATGCGAAATGCGAACAATGCCCTGCCCACTTCCTTTGTTTGTTTGTCTTGCGAATGTGCGAATGTGCGCTTGGCCCTCATCCAAAGGGCACACAAACAATAGGCAGCCGGAGGAGACTTGCGACCAGACACGCCTGCCCACACCCACAATTCAAATATGCAGCATTCCCCACCATTGCGGAAGGCGTGTCAATAAACTTAATCGAAATCAATTTAATTGCTTCACATTTGATTGCGTTCCAGTACAAATTTCATATGGATAATTGCAGTGAATACCAACCCATGACAACAGCAACTCAAATTCCATGCGATGAGTACAGTGGCCTCAAAATATGATAGCATGATTATTAAAGAATTTTGTTAATGTTTTTGCCAATGGTTGCAGGTACTTAAAATCACAGTACAGTTTCCCCAAGCGATTACAAATTGAATACCTGAAAGTCAAAGGGGTCCCTTCAATGAGAGCATTTCCATCTCGAAGCCTACAAAAGTCTTTAAGTATGCAGAGGACACAAGTCCTAAAACCATCCATGAGAGGACACAAGTCCTAAAACCATCCATGATTCATGCTGGAGATTTATCAAACGAAATATGAAATGAAACGTAACGTAACGAAAAGGATAACAATCAAGCCAATGAATAAATGCAGAAAAATGGTCGAGAACAAGTGGAAAAGCAGCGAGGGATTCGCTGTGAATCGAGTTGATGCCGCAATGGAAATGTGAGGCGAGTCGAGTCGAGTCGAGCATTCCAGAGTACGATTATTTGGACACAGCACACAAAATCCCCATGTAATCCCACCGGCAATCCCAAAGCGGAGCGGACACCGGGCCCATCATCATCATCATAGACAGAGAAGAAGAGAGAGAGAGAGAGAGAGCAAAGTATTGCAATAAAATATGTTAAGTAAATACGGAAAGAGTGTGGTGGGAGGGAATCATGGGGAAAACTAAACAATAAGCCAGAAAGTACGCTTGATTAAGTTTAACTTCCGGTCCGTTATAAATTGAGCATTTATGTGGGATTTGTTTGCGAAAAGCGTATCTACTTTGTGGAACAAAACCCAAATGCTTGGGATCTCCTCTCCTCTCATCACCCAAAAATGTAACCCATCCAAACGGCCAACCATCCATCCATCCATCCATCCAAACTCCTCTCTCGCTTGCGCCGTTCGTCCTGTCTGTGCAGCCAACACACACACAAAAAGACACACACACACCCTCCCGTATGTCTATTTCCGGCGGAAGTGGTGAATAAAACATGAAACGAAATAAAATGACGGCTGCCCCAAGGCACAAGCAGTGGTGGAGGTTGAGGTAAAAAAAAAAAGAAAGAGACTTTTAGTGGCCTAAAGTGAACATCCGTTGGTGAACGAACCTCGCCTGGATAGCTCTGGATTTTGTTTTGTTTGCTTTGGCGTAAATGGCTAAATTATTCGTAGACCGGCCAATCGAAGGGTCAACAAAAATTAAATGGCAAACATTTCGTTGATAAACTCTCAAGCACTGCAGGAATCCACCGACAGGGCTCTCTCACGCCGGAGCTCTGGGGAACAGAAATGTGGCCAAAGAAGTAAGGCATTTAATATCCGTAAATAAAATATTCAATTTCCCCCAACTGACAAACTTAGGAAATGGCCAAGAGACGGAATACATATTTACCTGTTTGCAGAAATGATATGAGAATAATATCTCTGTTAAATCGATGTGATAGACTTCCTTTCAACATCTTCAGCGACAACTTTGACTTGGAAACTATCATTGAATTCCCTTGAATACGAGTATCTGCTGATAGGAGTATTCAGCCCATCAGGATATTATAATTCTATTTGAAATCGTAATTATCATTATGGCCCTGGCCTAAGGCACTCAAGTAACCAACAGATTGCATTTCGGAAGACCATAAGCTGCAGTTCAGAGCCCAATCTCATTTGGCAGAGTGCTGTGGCCAGGACAAGGACTTTGCCAAACGTCTGCATCATTAACGATCCTCTGGTTGGATTGACCGCAAATTATTTTAGCAGGATTTCTACATGGAAAAGCAATAAATACAAAACTAAACATTGGCCAAAGCAAAAGCCAATGCCAATGCTTTCGAATGGACAAATTGGTTGATTTTGCTATTTGTTGGGTGGTATATTTATTGAGCAGACTAACAGATTATTGTAATATTATTTTGGGCTATTGAAGTACCGGATGCATTTGGCTATAGGAGGTTTTCATGGTTGAGTCTTAGGGAAAATAGGGACTCATGCAGTAGCCGCAATTCGAGTAGCAGGCCGGCTCACAGCAGTACCCACAGGGACAACAGCCGTAGCAACAGTTGCAGTCGCAGCACCGTCCGCAGTCATACCCTTTTCTCACCCAATGATTGACCATATCGTCTGTGGGATATTTTTCACTGGATGGCCAACACTTCTTCTTCTTTGGCTCCGGCTCCGGCTCTGGGGGTCTAATTCTTACCTCATCGGTTACCACATCAACAACCTCGACAACTTTATATTTGCTGTCCGAACCGGACCCTTTTTCTTCCGTCTCCGACCTGAGGAATGTCTTGATACGTAGCACGGACACATTACTTCCGTTGCTACTACGACCAAGCCCAGACATTTGTTCGTCACTTGCGAGTGACTTGCCCGCAGAAGCCGTAGGCACATTTCCCGCCGAGCCTATATGACTCTTGAAATCCACGGGGCTACCCACCAGGCCTATATTGGTCTTATTTTCCGTTGGGTTTAAGGAACTCATTTCAGCGATCTGCTTCGTCAAATCTGTATTTCTGGCGGCATCCGACTCCATGGGAACATGTTTCACCGACTCAACCGTCTCCTTGTACACAATGACATTGGGCTCCGATTCGAAACGATGTCTATTGGAAATGGGTTCAGATGCCGAAATAGATCGCCCCGGTCGCGTCACCGTTCGTGCTGCTTCGAATTTTCCACTTTTGGTGTTCGACGCGAGGTCTTCTCGGTGGCTGTTTTGGAATGTGGCCGATCCGACTGATCCTCCTTTCAACGAAAATGGTCGATCACTTCGAGGGTCGTTTGACTCGAGTTTTAGATCACTCGGAAAGTTCTTTGGCATCTGTATTCGATTAATTTGAGGGTCCTTTGACTCGAGTTTTCGATCGCTTGGAGGGTCCTTTGATATCTGTTTTTGATTACTTTGACGGTTCTTTGACTCGAGACTTCGATCACTTCGAGGATCCTTTGACGCCTGTCCTAGATCACTCTGAGGATCCTTTGACGCCTGTCCTAGATCACTTTGAGGATTCTTTGACTCCAGACTTCTATCACTTTTAAAATGATATGCAACTTTGGTGTCAGCGCCTGCTGCATCACTAAAATCGGCCACAGATTGTCGGGTCTCTATGGTCTCTTCGGAAACATCGCCAAACTGCGTCACGGACATCCTCTTGCTGATATCCGTCGTTTCCACCACCGGCATTGAACCGTCGTCTGGTATCATGGCCACCGACTGTCGAACGGTCAAAACGTACTCAGTTTCGCCTGTGCGGTGCGTTAGCGCAGCCTCCTCTTCGAAGATGTTAGTAACGGTCACAAACCCAGGCTCTTCGTTATCATTGTCGGTTTCGGGCGTTTGGCAACACGTGATGTCTGTCTGGGCGCAGCTGTCCTGGCATTGGCAGCAGTTATTACTGCACTGGATGTTCCTTTGCCTGTTCCTTCTCCTGCGGCACCTTTTCTTCTGCGAGGACGACTGGCAGACCTCTTCATTGGGCATCTGGAGTTCGGCCTGGCAGGCGCAAAAGCACGCGCATGGAGGATATTGGTGGCCTTCCCCAATTTCCCTATTGCACCGCACACAGAAGACATTGAAGCCGGGCAAACAATCCTCGATTCGGTGGGCCATCTGCATGGCCTTCCACTGGGCAGCACAATGGCAGGGGCAGGCGTGGGAGACATCGTAGGCCTCATTGCTATTGCCTGCCATGCATTTGCACATGCGGCCGTTCATCTTGGACGGGAACAATCTTCAGAATGTTCTCTGATCCCAACTGAAACAGCGCGCACATTAAAACCAAAATATATAAAAATTTTGGGGACCCAACAAACAGAATTTAAGATTTAAGTGAATGTGAATTGAATGGAAAATATTCCCAAAGCAAACCTTAGTCCAGGCATCCCTTTATGTATATATTTTTGTTTTTTTTTAGAGATCAAGTGTTCAGATTGAATCACATAGTTCAGTTACCAAAAATCATTCGTATTTCCTTCGATTTTATAAGATTTAAATTGAAAGTAAGAAATTTATTGCGCAGAAATGAGCCACGATAATAGTTTGGGTGAGTTCTTCACGAAGCTCAACCTGGCCAAGTGGTACACTGGCATCTCCGACTATCAGCTGAAGGCCATTGCCGGTATAACCGCCGGACTGCTGGATGACTTTGAGCAGGGGACCAGCTTCCGGATGGAGGAGCGACTGAAAATGCTCGGCGTGCATCCGCTGGTCGGCAGGCGAAAGATCCACACCATGGTGCAGCTCAGTCGGGGCAACGATCTGGCCTTCCTCTTCTTCATGCTCGAGGGATACTACAAGACATGCAACAAGGACGGCAACTACACCACCAACGAGAAGCTCCTCATGATCGCCATAGCCAAGATTGATCTGTTGCCCACGCTGAATGAGCTGGACCGGATCCTGCCACCGCCGCAGCTGAGTCGCTGGGATGTGCCGCATCAGCAGCGGCTGAACCCGGATGAAGTGCCTTCAGCACAAAGTAAGCAGCCCAAGGTCTCCGCACCGGCAAAACCCACAAGGTCGAAGGCCAGCAAGAAATCCCCCAGAGATCCGTACAAGCAGCGGTTGCGGCGGCCTGTGGTGAAGCCCACGAGTTTCCTCTGTAAGGGAGAACGCAGACTTGTCGTCAGTTTTCCCTTTTGGGCGAAGGAGTGTCCGCCCAACTACGGAAAATCACGCGATCCCCCCTGGTTCTCCCTCTACAAACTCGATCCAGTTAAGCGTATCGTGAAGCGCACCCTGGATGAGACTGTCGACAAGTACTTCGGGCTGAAGGAGCTGGCAGCCAAGGCGGACACCAACGGAGAGTCGAAGTTGGCCTACGAGATGGCCAAGCAGCAGCCGATGTTCAACGAGGAGCCGAACCTCTGCACCCACCACCAGGAGATGATTGCCCAGGCGCAGCATCTCAAGGATGAGCTTACGGTGAAGGCGCGCGACCGTTGCCTGGAGATGCTGGACCCCAGCCAGCCCCACAGCAGGGTGCGGAGGAAGCGCATCATCGACCAGCTCGAGTACGAAATCGAAGCGTCCTTGGAACGACTGCGCCAGGCCATGCACACCGATCAGGTGAAGGTGATGAAACTCAGGGACCACAGCTGTGTGGTCTGCCAGGAGGCGCTCGTGAAGATAACCTGGCCCGATCCTGGCCAGAAGGTGGGCAGGGCTCTGGTGGGAGAGGGCTGCAACCTGGCGCACACAGCCACCACCACTGAGGGATTCACCGGAAGGAGGTTGAGCGGCGGCGGACTCAACAGCGAACCTCAAGAGGTGCCGCAGGTGTCCGCCAGGCTGGTGGGCGGTGGCCTGCACATGGACAAAATCGACTTCAACATTGAGCCGGAGCAAAAGTCCGCGATCGAGGCGAACGAGTGCGAGGGGCATCCGGAGACCCCCAAGTCCCGCATCACCTTTCTCTTGGATGAGAACAAGGTCAAGCCTATAGATTTGGCCCGGGCCAAGCCAGTGAACTGTGATGGCTGCGAGTACAACAGCAGCGTCAAGTACACCAGGAAGAGCTTCTTCCGGGCACCAGACACCCACATGCCGTACAATTTTCGGTACCATCGAGTGCTGCAGTCGGGCCAACCGAAGCCCTACGACCTGGCAAAAATCGTCACAAAGTCGATAGTGAAGGCGCTCGAAAAATCGCAGAACGATGAAATAGTTGGCGAAACGTGCCCATTGCTAGAACCCTACAAAAAGCAGCCGCCAGAGCTGGAACAAGAGCTGGAACTTGACCCTAAGACACAGAAAACGAAACGAGTGTCGAAAGATTCCTCTTACCATTCATCCGACACAGAGGAATCCCTGGACTCTTCGAGCGATCACAGCAGCCGCAGTCAGGTGGATCACAAGGCGGATATCGTGAACGCTGTGGTGCGCTGTGCCAAGGCCATTTGGACTAAGAGGGCGGCCATCAAGCGGGCCGAAATGGATCGCAACGAACGGGTGCCCTCCGATCACTCCCTCAGGCCCGAGGTGCTGCACTACGACATGGAACACTTTGATCCGGATGATAATGAGCTGATGGATCGCATGCTGGCCGATGGAATGAAGGAGCTGCGGAAGCACCACCGCTTTGTGTTGGCCACCCTGCCGGATGCCCACAAGATTCCCATACTTCGACAGTGGATCAAACGGCGCTACGGCAAGGCCTACACGCAGCGGGAGCTGCAGGAAAATCTCAAGGAATCGTTGCAGGTCTTCGAGACGGTCACACACCTGCAGAACCACCCTCCCAAGCCGGACAGAATGGGGCTGGCCCACACCCCGGAATCGAAGCAGAACTATGCATACTACAAGCCGGCCATGGCAGAGGTAACAATGCCAGAACCAGCCTATATACAATGATCTATTAAATGCCTTTCCCTTCCAATCCCACTTGCAGGCGGGACGGGTTAAGGCCGCCTACTACACGCGGCTGAACAATGTGTACTTGAACCAGATGACCGCCTGCTGGTATGCCATGGGGAACTACCTCTGTCCGGGCGGACCGCCGCGCACGACCTTCTACGCCTACATGGCCTCCAATCACCAGGACGTATTGCGGGCCAAGTTGTGGAATGGCGAGTACAGGGATCACCGGCAATTTAGCGAGAAGAAAAAAAACAATTAAATCTTTATTCGCCCGCGGCTCGGGCTTCATTTACAATTATTGTATGTCGATTTGTTAAATGTGGAACGGGCGCGACGGCGGAAATGAACACCCTTGCTGGCCAAGTACCTAACAATGGTGTATTTTGTGTGGCTCTTCAGGGTGGCCGTATCGAACTTCAGCTTACGCCTGACGATCCGCAGATCCTCCATCTGTTTGATTATGTGCATAACTCTGTGGAGGACTTCACCCTTGAGCGTCTGCAGCCTGGCCGCCAGCATATTATTGTCTTTGGTAGTCCATGGACGATCGTCATCCTCTTTGGCAGTCCACGGACGCTCGGCTTCCGCATGCTGCCACTGTAATAACTCTCCATCTCCATCCTTGTGCGGCGTATTCGGTGTGCCAGGCTTCGATGTGTCCTCCTCGCTCTCAAAGATTGGACTCATGGTACTCTGTGGAGTGGTCTCGATTGTGGTGTCGCTCTTAGCAGGCGTCACCGGGGCAGTAATCTCGACAAACATTGCCTCAAAGATGACCTGCAGTTTCTTGGCCATTTCGTAGCACAAATGGCCCGGAGTCGTGTACAGATACGTGTTGTGGAACAACAGTTGCATGTCCCGCTCGAACTCAGCGGCATCCCAATACAGTCCGTTGTAGAGACGATTCTTGATGAACCGCAGATCAATGGGCCTCTCGACAATATTGTAGTAGTCGTGCAGTCCCAAAAATGGTGCATCTATCGGCTCGTAGAATATCCAGGCCAGTCGCTTGTATTGGCTTGAGAATAGCTTTCTGATGATGGCCTTGCATGCGTTGCTGCCCGGAAAAGTCTCTTGATTGCGGGCGCGGCTGCGATTGCGGTCCGATTTACGATTGCGGTTGCGGTCGCACATTTTGCAATTGGCAGCGAAAAAGGCAATAAGAATTGAAAGATTAATTAAATCAAAGCACGCGTCAAGTTTCGCACTGAAATCGAATGAGTTGGCAGCACTGCCAATCACAGGGTTGCTCTGAATGCCGCGGAACTAGTTCCCATGAACATTCAGCTAAACTTTGAACGTAAATGAACATGTAAAATGTAATTAAAACGTATTATTATAGTACTGGCGGTGCAGTGAAAACATGGAATTTGCAAATCTTGTATGTGGTGACGATCCAGCGGTTCGGTTCGTCCATTTGCTCCTCGGCGGACATCATGTGAGGCTTGGAATAGTTGCGACGGAAGCGCAGGAAGAGCTCGATGAACACGTGCGGCAGAGGGCAATCGGGCTTGGACAGCTGTGCCTTGAAGTGAGGATCCATCTGGATCAGCGCCTGCTTCATGGACTCCAGATCCGCCGGCGTCTCATGGTCGGCCACGTCCCGTACGCCAAGCATGGCCACATCGACGACTGCATAGCGCAGCCCAAAAATGTTGTACAACTTCACATCGACGGGCACAGCCTTCTGTATGTCCTCGCGGCGGAAGCGCATTAGATCCGCACAGCACTCGTGGGGCAGTTTGATGGCCTCGCTGGCCATCTGGTAGGTCACATTTGAAGTGTAAAAGTCGTCGGACATATTGGCCTTGTCCCGCAGTTGGACCATGTCCGTCAGTTTGACGGCCAGCTCCTTGGTCTGCTCCAGAAAGTCGTCCTGCCGGAAGTCGCGGTCCCAGGTCCAGCGCAGCTGCCACAGCTGCAACTTGCTCAGGTAGTACTTTAGGGGACTGTACGCAAGCTTCAAGTGCGGCACGAAAGTATCCCTCACAATCGTTTTGTTCGGATCCTTCAAATAGTTCGGCATCATGCCGAAGTGTTTCTCGCCGAGGCAATGGCCGATCGGATGGCACAGCGATTGCGTCGTCTGCGGTGTGGCCATAGGACTCACGTAACGTATAAATTTATGCAACATCTTTCGTTGAACATTGAATAATGAATGAATATTGTTGATTTTCACTATGTTTGTTTCACTCTGGACTCTCAAATCACAGCTACTGGGATGCCCCACACATTTGATGTGTTTATGCCGGCAAACATACTCGCATTCTTCGCATAGTTAATTATTCGAGTGTTTAAAGTTGTCCGGAATTTAACATAATGAATGTGGGCGCTTATCTGGGCCACAATTGCTGCCTTTCCCCCCGCCTGGGGAAAGTCCTTCCCTTGCTGCCACAGAATTTAATCTAATTCAGGCCCAATGTCAACAGTCCCTTTTCAGATGGGAGACAGGAGCGCAAATATAAATGTATTGAAGCAAACATTGAATGTTTGTATCCCTTCCCGATTTTGGCCCCAAAAATTTCATCGGTCAACCGCTGACGTCAGTTATTTTAGGCACTCTGTTAGTTTTGGGGCACCAGCAAATGTACAGTTTGCATATTATTTTGTGTTGTTTATATTAATATACCCTTCCAGTTGGTATACGGTTTTTGGTTTTTATACAGATTTCTGGGCATTCAGAGTATACAAATTTAGGCATTTTCATCTAGCTTTTGCGATCGAACTTTGTTCATAGAAAACTTTTTGCTGCGGGATTACAATGGTATATAGCAGGATTACACTAGCCCGTATAAATGAATAAACATCTGGCTAGAACAAGTAACAGTCAACAGAGGTACAATAAAATACCCTGTTAACGCAATTCCCTTGGTCAGGCGGCAGGCAGGCGGAGAGGGCATTTTATTTCCCATTTGAACTAAATTCCCCCCGCAAACTTGGCTTCCACAATGCGTGGCTTTCCCCTGCTGTTAGCTTTGATCCACAACGCTGCTCCTTCCCCTCCTGCTAACGTGACTTCCACATTCCACTTCTGTTAGCTTGCAGCCCACAAATGCAATCGTTCTCTCTTTGCATGTTAACGTGCATGCCATAAAGAGCGTAGCTGTTAGCTTACGTTCCTCAATGCTATTGTAAAGGCGATTTACGCTCCCAAATACTCCCCCCCTGGTTCTTAGCCATCATTTCTTATGGCAACACCTTTTCAGTCTTGGGGCATGTGGCCGATTCCTGCTTATCGCGTGGCAATTACACTCGAACTCTAACGACTGACCCACTTGCGGCTGAACGGGAGCCCCCAGAGACTCTGACTGGGTCTGTGCCTGTGCCTGTTCCTGTTCCTGGTGCTGACCTTTGGCACGCACTTAAATGCATCGCTCTGTAAGTTTAAGTGACGACAACGCACCCTAAAGAGAAGCCACGATATGCAAAGCGGGTTTAAGGCGCGAGCAGCTCCAATTAAAATCGAGTTACCATTTCCTTTACACTGCAACTACAACTGCAGCGCCTGCTACTCCTCCTCCTCTTCCTGCTCCGCCAATTGAAAATTATGCATGCAAAGGCAATCCACAACATAACAGACAATTGGAGAGCTGATAAAAACGAGAGAAAGAGAGCGAGAGAGAGAGAACCCAAAGCGGAGGTTAAAAAACGCAGGAATTACTTGTGCTCCAACATGGGATTCCTTTTAAACCTGTCGATTCATTGATAGCTGGTTGCCTGAGAGATGTCTGGAACCTGTTTTCCCAGCGATCAAGATGATGCAATTTCCCTTTCTGCCAGCATTGTCAGTGGGTTCTAGATAAAACTCCCTTTTACATCTTCCACACCTTACCCCCTGATGCAAATCCGCAAATACGGAGAGCCGCCACACTCAATCAGTTGACAGATGAAATTATACACCTCGGGCCTCTGGGCAGGTGCTAAAAGGATCGCCACGGGCACAGTACCGAACTCTTCTCACACATCACACAAAAAAAAACGTGTGTGAGGCTGTCAGAAAGAGGGCCCCCATATCCCATACTCGTACCTGTGCCCGCATCTCATTGGAATCGGGCGATAGTCCATGTACCTACATACATACATGCACAAAAAGCGGCAATATGAAAGCACAGCACAAAAAAATGAAGAGACAAGCAGTAGAAGGCGAAGGCTCCGCTCCAGAATTGAGAAGATATGAGAAATGTACATTTGGACAGGCTACACACGGGACACAGAAAGAGAGAGAGGGAGAGAGAGAGTCTGATAGAAGGGGACGGGCAAACAGGCAGACCGACAGTCACATGTCAAACATTCTTTTGACACTTTGTCATAGCATCTCCCAGTGACACTTGTCAGCAGTCGGATTTCGCATTTGGGTGGAATCTGCTGCGGATATGCCGCAGTTGATTTATACCTATACATTTATACATCTACGCTTGCACGAGTATTTCTATATCTGTTTACATATGTACATATGTACATATTTATGTATGCATGTGCCCGTGTGCCCATGGCATTCACTTATGAATCGCTTTGAATTCAATTTTGCTAATGTATGATGAATGCCCGCGACACACCGCATCGTCAATCGTTGTCACCCTTTTTGTGGGTACTGAAAACTGAAAGCTGTAGAGTATTGGGGAGTTGTTTGCTATGCTGTGTTCAGGGCAGCTTTTACAAGCTCCCTGAGAGTTATTTCGATCTTCAAAGATGATTTTGTTGGAGGACATTTTGACCAATTAATTGCTTGCCAAATTAATTCCTTGTAAAATGCACAAGGGTAAAAGAAGGACATAGATACAAAGATATTCCTTTTCGGTGAACGTTTATAAATGTAGCATGTAAATGTATATCTGTGAGAAAAAACCGCATATAAAAGTATGCCAAGATCTATATGAATATTTTTACAAACCAAACGTAGACGCTCCCAAAAACAAAATATCCTTTAAGGTTAAAGTACAATTTAGCGTCTTAAAATGCCTCTTCCTTTCAAAACTCAATTTGGTTGCCACATTTAACTTTTTCCACTGCCCTGCCCCGAATATTCAACTTTTCAAGCAGAAAATATGATAATCAGTCCTAAGAGCGAGCAACTTTCGTTCGAGTTGTTGCGGATGGGCGGGGGGGCGTTCTCGGCGGGGGGTTTCAACTAACCCAATTAGCGAGCCGCCGAATTGAGTGAACAGTTTTGCTATTTAACTAGCGATGAGATGGCGGCCATTTATCAGGGCATCTAATCTAATCCTTTCAGTGGTCAAATAAATTAAAATGGAAAGCCTTTTTCGCCAGCCACTAAATTACACCAAAGATAATTAACAAACCTGTGGGTGGATGTCTCCTACTGCTACTCCTACTCCGGCACCGACTCTGAGAGGGAACCCCCGGATGGGTCTTTATTTAGGTCTGCGGCGGAAGTGGCAGTCAGTGGAGCAGCAGGAGAAGAAGAAGAAGCCGCCCGGCGAGGAGTAAAACTGAAATTATAAAATGGTGTAAAATTATAGAAGGAGGCGGCCAGACGAGACAACCAACGTCCTTGGTATCCGCATTCGCGTCGTCCTCGCTGGCTATTTCCGTTGTAGGGCATTTTTCCAAATGAAGTTTTCAAGTAATCATGAAAAAGGTAATTTAATAAAAGCAAAATCGAGAAACATAAAACTAATTTACGGCCTGAAATTGCCTGTGAAAAGCCCAGCCGTCCAGCCGCCCAGCAGCAACACAGAACTTGAGGCATGTGAAAAATCACCAACTCGGGGAAAGTCCTGGTAGTACGGGCAGAGTAGAAGTCGAATAATCCACAATTCAGGGCGGAGTCGAGGTCGAGGCAGGTCGGGTCGGGTCGGTTGTCAGGTCAGGGCTGGACCTTTGAAGTTCAAGGTTAAACACAATTCACGTTTCGAGGGGAACACTGGGCGTTTGGGGTCCAGCCAGCTGTAATAATAGACCCGCTCAAGAAGAAAGGATAAGCATAAGCAATCCAGTCCGAGCAAGCAGTTCGACATATCCGGCAAGGAGCAGGACCAGCAACAATGAACGGACACACAAATCGAGCAACTGCTGACACACATAAGGGGGGAGGGCTCTCCTTCTGCCGCTGCCGCTGCCCCTGCCCCTGCCCCTGCAACCACACTCGACCGCACGTATGACAAAACAATTTGGAAGCTTATTTATTCTACATATTTTTTTGCCTCGCCCGCTCTCTCTCTATCTCGCTCTCTGTGCTCTGTGCTGCTGCCTCTTGGCCAGTGTCCAAGCGGTGGAAATATGCGGCCACAAAATGTTGCAAGGCCAAGAGCTGCAGCAAACATTGTTCAAAATTCTAAAGGACAACATGTTAAAGTTTAAGCAAATATGTTTGCCACTGAGCAGAGTCCGGCCCTTTCTGTGGGACATCCTTGCATTGCCCATGGCTGCAACATACTGCTCTCTCTCCTTCTCTCTCTCTCTCTCTCTCTCTATGTGTGTGTGTGTGTGTGTGTGTGTGTGCCCTCTCCCCATCTCTGTTCCATTCTACCAATGCCTAAGATCCGAATTCAAATCAAAGTATTTAAGCAGGAATTTTCACATATTCGAGTGAGTATGTGGTGTCTGTGGTGTCCCTTTGCATTATTTAAAAGTTGCTTTAATGCCATTTTATGTTTCGGCATGCCACACAGAAAAACTGGGCCAGCAATGAGCCCCAGCTGGAAGCGATGGAGATGGCGATGGTGATGGGTATGGGAATGGGGAAAGTTTTCTTGCCTACGCAAATGAGACCCAATTTCGAGAGCAGCCACTTCGAGGAGTAGGTCACGCGAGCCACCGAGAGAAGAGGCCACAGAAGCGGAGCTTAAAGAGACTGAACGTCGACAGTTTATTTGGCAAGAATTTTCGGTAATTGAGTGAAAAATAGTTGGCAACAGCGGCTGCTTATTGTCTTTAGTTGCATCGATAAATTTGCGCCAGCACCGCCAACTACTTTTACCTATGAATTCAAAACTCACAGCTGCACGTGGCTGTCTTTACTGTGATTAGCAATATGTTTTATTCCACATTTTATGTGGCAGAATTAGCCCCAGAAAATATGAATGTTTCCAAAGCAGATGGTTAAGCCTCCATTTGTACTCCCTCTCACTCATGGCTGGG